TATGGAGTTAGAGTGAGCTGGTAGTAAGCACCATGAGCAGAGGGCTAGATAGTGTAGGTCTCCTTAGTGAAATGGTGATGATTTCACAAACCAGAATCTCCAGGGAAACATGTTTCAAATACATTTCTGGCCCTACTGTAGCTTCCATTTCAGCATGTCTGGAGTAAAGGCTGGGAATCTGAACTGTTAAGTCTCCGAGGCCCCTGCAATGATCTGGCCAAATTTGACAGCACTGATATATAGAGGTGACAGCTGTGGGTTTGGGCAGAAGCACTTGTAGCCATTAGAGGCAGTGCAGATGGTATGGATATGTCTAGAACAGAGTTTTCAACCTCAGTAGTGTGACATTTTGGACCAGAATGTCCTCTCCATGGCAGGGCTGTCTTGTGTATTAGAGGCTGTTTAACAGCAGCCAGGCCTCTATCCACTGGTTCCAATAGTGGCCCTCCCTGAGTTATAACAACCAATATCTCCAGTCATTGTCAGAGTCCCTTATGAGGCAAAAACCATCCCTCTTCCAGTTGAAATTCCTTGTCTAGAGTTAGTTTCAAAGAAGGGTAAAGTGTATGCTTCCAGTGGAGTGAGGGCCAGGAATCAAGTGATGAAGAAACCAGATGCTGGTCCTGCCCAGCATGCCTGACCTATTAAAGGCATGGGGGGAATTTTGCGATCCTCTGTTGGGGAGCGTGGATGTGACACAGTGAAAGTTAAGTGAGGGATTTTTCTGGAAGCTGTACATAGCATGTCTTGAAGACGTTCTCAGCATCCATGATTTTTTCTCCCTTTAGAACCAATCTTATTAAAGAAGTGGTGCACCCACCTAGAAAGCCAGTCACCCGTGTTCTTTCCTCAAGTCTCTCAGCATTGCTTGGATCCTGTCTTCTAAGCTTGGGTCTTGGATCTCTCATGGGGGTCATTTTTCTGCAGAACAAAGTTTTCATCTACAGAGGGAAGGAGTATGAACGAAGAGAAGATTTCCAGATGCAGCTGATGAGCCAGTTCCCCAACGCAGAGAAGATGAACACAACCTCCACACCTGGGGATGATGTGAAGAATGCCCCAGGCCAGTGTATCCTTGGAGAAGGCCTGCTGAGGGCTAGGCAATGGCAGCCCTGTAGGGATTTCAGCCCACAGAGCCCCCTCTGAGCACTCAGGGTCCCTGCCAGAAGCTCTGCGGTGGTTCCTATCTAGTGTCTAATTGGATCCAAACTACCCATTTCAGAAATCTAAATATTGCAGTGATTGGGTCATTCATTCATGCAATGAGTACTCTTAAGCCCAATATTGCACAAGATGCTGGAGATTACATACACAATGCAGTCCTATCTTAAGAGAGTTTGTAGTCTGGCAAGTAAAAAATAGACATTGAACAACCATTTTCTCCCTTAACTATGTATTTATAAAATGTGGTTAATGCCAAGAGAGAATTGTGCAGGATGCTGTGACCAGGAGGGCGGGGAAGGCTTCCTTGAGGAAGGTGATGTTTGAGATGAGTGATCTGCTGAAGGATTAGCAGGAGGTGGGGAGATCATTCTGACTGAGGGAGGCACTGTCATTTGCAAAGACCTTGAAGCAGGAGGGAACATGACAGGTTCTAAAAACTGAAATGACTCCACATTGCTCTTAAAATAAGATCAAAACTCTTGGATTAGGCCTGCCAGACTGTCTGACCCCTGTGGGCCTCTCAGTGTGATCGCCTCTGACTCTTCCTTCCCTCCCTCTGCCCTCCTGGCCACACTAGCCTTGCTTCTTTTCTAAAACATGCCCCGCTGTTCCCACCTCTGGGCCTTTGCAGTGTCTGTTCCATCTGCTTGGCATGCCCTTCCCCAGCTCCTTTCTCATGCATCATATCCTGACTCGATGAGGCCTTCCCTGGCCACCTTATCTAACTGGGCTTTTCTGAGCTCTTCATGACACTAATCACAAACTCCCTTTGCTTGCTTTAGAGATCTGTCTCAAACTTTTGTGCTTCTTGAAGGTATACCTAAGCTGGCCCATAAGCTCCATGAGAGCAGAAACTTTGCTTCTTTGTTCACTTTGGTGACCCCCATATCCCACAGTGCCTGGCACAAAGCCAACACTCTGAAAATACTTGTTGATTAATAGAAAGACAAAGAAAACAAGAGAAATAGAAAAAGAAAGAGGATAGACACATAGAGAAAGGATAGAAGAATAGAGGCAGGGAGGGAGCCAGTTCTGAGGATCCAGAGAGGAGGGCAAGGGAAACGAAGATGAAACCAGTGAGGCTGGATAGGGTAAAGGTTGGGGTGGGAGGGGTGGTGTTCACAGGGCAGGAGGCAGGATTCCTGGTAGCAAGCAGTGTATAAACCCAAGAATAAGACAGCCGAGTAGGGGGCACATTGACCCAGCCTGACTCCCCACACTGCACCCTTTAGCACAAATTAAGTTATAGCCTTTAAAATGGGCCTGACAGGTTGCATGGCTGGTCGGCTAAGTCTGCTGAACCTTGATCCAAATATTTTCCCTTGGGGTGATAATATTCATCTGTAACCTTTTCATTATGCTCGCCTGCCCTTCTTGCCTGCTGTACCATGGTTATTTGCAGGAGGAAATACAACTGTTGGAGAGGCTGGCTGGTTACAAATGTTGAATTTGGTTACAGGCGAGACACAGGATTAGTAAGAAGGTCCTTCTAAGTGGACATCCTTGTGCTGAACAGCAATGTGGCCTTTTAACTTGGGAAGAGAGCACATGTGTGGCTGGGCCATGGCTTCAGCACATGGTGAGGCATCCAGCCTCATCCTCCAGGATGTGGTCTGTGGCCTTTGGTGTCTCTGGCTCCATCAGGAAGGGTTTAGAGTCTCCTTTTGGACCAGAGTCAAGTGTTAAGAACTATAGACATGACCTAAAACCTTCTCTAAACAGGAATTGGCAAACTTTTCTGAAAAGGATCAGACAGGGAATATTTTAGTCTTTGTGTGTCACATGGTCTGTGTCACAACTACTTAGCATTGTTGCTGCAGGGGGAGAGAAGCCCTGGATAATACACAAACAGATGGGTGTGGCTGTGTTTCAATAAATCATTATTTATGGACTCTGAAATTTGACTTTCATAGAATTTTCACATCACAAAATATTCTTTTCCCAAAACATTTAAAAATATAAAAACTATTCTTAGATGTGGATCTTATAAGAACAGGTGGTGAGTCAGACTTGGGTCAAAGTGACTTGGGTCAGTTTGTCAACTCCTGTCTTAACCTTACTTCAGAGTGGTTTTCTTCCTAGAAAAGGCTCTTGACAATATGATTTGAGAAAGAAAATGGTTTTCCTGAATATTATAAAATTCTTCCAGTGAGGTTTATTCGTTTGTGTTAGCCTGCCTCCTTTTCTCTCCTTTTCCCTAATATGTTTTTATGGGATATGGCATGAGTTTATCATGGAAGGGAGCAAGAAACTGAGCTGAACTTGGGATTACATTTTGTCCATTTCTTTTTGCTAGAGAAGCATACCCTCTAACATGAGAAGGGTCACAATCTGGTGGTGAGGGACCTGGGAAGGAGAAGGCAGGGAGCTGGAGAGATAAGATTCCTAAGCACAAACAAAATGTCGTGGAAAGGCAAGCAAGGAAATGAGAACTGAGTGAGGGGAAGTCGAATGTTTCTGGATGGTAATCTACATTTTCCTAGAAGGAGACATGGTCAGGTGGAAAAATATTCCAAGCCAAGTGAACAGAACTTGTTGGACACCGACAAATACTGGTTGGGAATAGGTTGGAGTCATATTTGAGCATTTGAATACCAACAAGAGGGGTTTGTGTTAACTTAGTGGCAGGAAATCATGCCCAGAAAATTTTTTGGAGCATGGTAGTCAGCAGGTAGGATAGAGGGACAAGAGAATTTGGAGACCTAAAGAAGAAATGGGTGAAGAAACCATGGAAGTCAGGAAGGGGAGCAGGGCTAAGGCATGGGACTAGTGATGAGTGTCTGGGTTCATTTGAGCTGCCTTATTATCTGAAAGGTCTGAAATAAATAAAGGTCTAGAATAAGCATGACAAAGCTCTGGCCCACACAGCCCCTTTACTATGTCCTATTTCCAAGGCATCACTAGTCAATCATGTAACACTTTCCTACTGAACCCCTACAGGACCTTACAACCCTGCCACAGGCAGTTAATCTGAAATTTCAGAGTTTGGAGTGTAAAATGACATCTATTTGGAAACTCTGAAGTGGGGCTTCTCACACTGAAGCAAGCTTATCATCTTGGATTTCTATAAAACTACAGGCTCTGACCTGGTAGGTCTGAGAGAAAGTCTGAGATTTTCATTTCTAATAAGCTCTCAGAAAATGCATACGCTGTTGCTCAGAGAGCCACACTGAGTCAACATCTAGAGTCAACAAACTTCAAGCTCCATTTTAAAAGACCCAGGACAAACCTCCACTCTGTTTTCAAACTGTGTTCAAACTTCAACAAGTTGCCTGGCCTCTTTGACCTTCATGACCATGTCTGTGAAGCAGAGACAATTAACATAATAACTGCTCAGTAAAATTGGAGAAACAAAAGAGGACAAGGGAAAGACATGCTCTGCAATTGATTAAGAGCTGTAATCCATTAGATAGCATTATTGTTAATAATAACAGCAGTAACGATCATTAAAGACCACTTACCAACTCTTACCAGAGGCTGAGTAAGGCTGAGCCCCGGGTGAGTTTACAAGTGACAGGCTGCTCTGATGAAGACCAAGTTGACTGCTAATTGCTCATGAGGACCTACTTAGCAGCCAGCAACCTGAGGTCAGTCATTCAGTAAAAACCTGGTCCCAGAAGGGCTGTCTGGAAAGTCTCAGCCAGGACTGTCACTTTTGGAACTGTCCCGGCTGTGAGACACATGGTGTAAACCCTTAACCACAGGACCCCAGACATCCAGTGCTTCACCGTCCAGCCTGTCTACGATGAACCCCCCAGTTTCAAAAATAAGCAAGTGCCTGACCAGA